AAGAGGTTTTGCTTTTTTTTTTTTTTTTTTTTTGTCAAGGCATATAGGATGTGTTTTATGTTTTGTTAATTTTGTAATTAAATAAACCGCAGTGAACATTGAGAATATGCCCTTTTTTTACAGATTTATTTAAAAATTAAGCAACTCAAAGTGAACGATACACTGCCTACAGTAATAATTAATGTAATACATTCTGGAATAAACAAAAGGAAATAATGGCTGCTTATGACAAGATGCAAAGACATCTGTGATAAAAGCATCAATGAAAGTCAGTTTGGAGAAAAAAAAAAAAGCCAAATGTTTTCTTTTAATTCCCACAGTGCCAGGTTGAGACAATTACTATCACGAAGCCATAGTTTCCTCACACTTCTGTCTCTTTGGGGCCGGTTCTTCTGAGGGCTCTGTGGATAAACAAAATCTGATTAGAACTGAACGGTGTACAACTTCAATGTCCACTGAATCTGGCTGTAAACTAAACATGCATCACATACAACAATACTGACAGCGCGACTACTCCAAGCTAAGATTGATTGACGCTCTTACTGATTAATCTGCTCGTTATCCTAAATATTTATAGTCAAAATGTCAGAACAGTGAAAAAATACACACAAAAATCACAGTTTTCAAGAGCCAACTGAAGTATTTAAATTGCTTGTTTGGTCTGACTCTAAAGCTCTTCTAAAGATCTTCAGTTTACTATCATTACATTTGATTACATAATCACATTAATTTAGCCTCTAAGAAATGAGCAGCCCAATTACCTGTAGAATAAATGGCTTTTTGTGCCAAAACATTCTGTAAACTGTACTAAAGTTTAGTCTCTCATTCTTAGAGACCAGGGGATGTGAGAGTTCCTCTGTAATTCAGTTTCTGCTGTTTTCAAAGAGCTGTGGCCTTCTACTATTAGCGGCGCCTGCAGAAAATATTTAGTGGAGGGGCAGATGGGGCCAGTGGAAAATCTTGGGGTGGCACACTAAAAAAAAAACTATAAAGCATAGAGGAATTTAAGGCTGTCCAGGTTAACAGAAAGGTAAAGATACTGTAATGTAGTGTAAAATAAATTGCACACCGTTTAACTCCTTGGCCGAGCTTGTGTGAATATAAGATTATGATATTCACATGAAGTCAGTCAAGAAATCATTATTAATTCCAATTTGACTGTGTTATCAGCAAAAATTTAACTTGTGGGTTGATTAAATAGAAATATTAAGTACTAGCTGATAATGCAGGTCTCATTTATGTCCATCACATCATGTTTAATATTATTTGCAAATATCTTGCATTCTTTGAATTAGTTGTCAAGATTCTAGCCAAAAATTCTACAAGTGGCTTTAATTCTAGGTGCATCTATTTTCTATAAAATAAAGTAATTACTGATGCAACAATGTAAGACCTAAAGCTCTGATGCAATTACAAAACACACATCTGATTTTATACTTAATTTCCATATTATTTTTATCATTTCAGTGATTTGTATAAATAACAACCAACAATGTTCTAGTTTTATCTCAAAATCAAAAATAATTTTTCTTGAGAATGCTCCCTTCAAAATCCAACTCAAATGTCTTATGTCTTACATATAAAGGCTTGTGTTGCAAAGAATTAGATTGACTGGGGCTTGTCACTTGTAAGGGGCCAGTAATTTTAGGATGAGGTCATGGGCCGTCATGTTCAGGTATGAATGCTTGCTTTTGACATTGAAGTCTTTATTAATTTAATACTGGATTCCTCACCATTTTGTAAATTAATTCTCACCTGTCTGTTTGTCATCACTGCTGAAGAGGACTTCTTTAGGGAGCGGGAATGTCACACACTTCATATCTTTGTTGGGTGCTACATTACGCACAAAATGCACTGAGCACAAATTCTCCAGAGGGAACTGGAGACTGCGGGAAGCTCTCTGCACCACGTCCATGTCGGGGTTATCATCTTTGGAGAAACCGTAGCAGTACACTGTGGGGAGGTTCTCATCCCACAGAGGTTCCTGGTGCAGCAGGCCTTTGAATGCATCCAAAAACTCCAGAGCCAAAGCAGGCAGGTTCATCACCACATGAACAGTGGCTTTTCCCTTCAGCAGTGCAGGTAGCTCCTGCTTCATCGGTCCCTGGATGAATGCTCTGCCGTCCAGGTTAAAGGTTCGGACTTTGCTCTCCACCTTGTTGAGCTTGCAGTTGTGCTGCAGCCAGCGGTAGGACTCTGGGTTGAGATCGTTGGCTAACACATTGGCACCCTGGCGTGCGGCTGGGATGGTGAAGGGCCCGACACCAGCAAACACATCAAACACAGTGTCACCACGTTTGAAGAGCTGAACCACACGCTGGTGCTCGGTGCTCAGCCGAGGGTTCCAGTATACACGAGAAAAATCAAATTCATACATCATGCCGTTTTCTTTTACCTGCATCACAGAAAGAAGAATGTATCAAGTAACAGCCAATGAACTGAGCAAACATGGATGTATGTGTCATTAACAGGAAATCATTGCACATAAAGTTTCTATCTATCTATATATTTGTAATACAACCTACTTTGGTCAGCATGTTCTCCTCTCCAGCTAACACCTCCATCTTGAAGTTGCGGTAAGTGGAGTCGATTATGCTGGTCTTGTTGACCACACAGGTAACACCAGGGTTTTTGTCCATGATGACTTGACCTACAATGAAAGCAGCAGATGCTGTAAGTACTGGTAATGACTTCAGCTCCTAGCTGTTATTTATTAGCCATGGCTGTCTGAGTAAGAATATGATTGAACTTGAATTAAGAAATAAAATGAAATGTTATTCATTTAAATACAAATACTACCTTGAACTTTAAATATTTGAAATGAAATTCTGTCACATCTCTTGGAAATCATGTACTGAAATGCTTCTGCTACAACATCTACCTCTCACCTATGAGGTTTTTGTATGGGAGCTGGTGGTCCCTCAGGTTCATGTGTGCAATGTGTCCCACCCGGCTGAACGCAGAGGTCACATCCTGACCCTGGGGGAGCACGGCCTCCAGCACTTCTTCGCTCTTCAGGTTGTCATAGGTTAGTCGCAGATCATAGTGTTGCAGCTCTTCAGTGACACAAAACGACCTCAGAGCCTCAGCTTCAGCCTCACTGAAGGAACTTGGGGAGGACACTCTGTGAGGGTCCAATAGGACCAAACGAAAGTCCTTACTCTCCTCTTTATCTTGTACCACTCTGGGCAGTCCTGGGCGCTGTAAGGTCGACTTTCTCAGGCTCTTTACCACTTTGTTTAAAACCCCAGTGGGCACTCGTAGAGCTGGCACTGTAATGGTCTGTGTGAAGGCCTCTTTATCCAGGGAGGTCATACCCCGAACCTCTGGAGGGGGCTGGTACAGTTTAAGCTCTGTCATCGGGTTCATAGAAAAACCAAGCCTGGGCAAGACTTCAGAGCCAAAGCACTGGTGGTCAACGACAAGTTTTAGGTTTCTTTGAATTTGTACTGGTGCAAAAACTCTGCTGAGTAGTCTGCAAAAACGAAAACGCAGTGTTATGGGCCGGGAAAGTAAAAAAAAAATACTAACTTTAAAATCAAGAGTTAGATTTAGCATAAACATAGAAATACGAAGCTTAGAAATTTATAATAATGTTAAGTTACTATCGAGAAAACCTCACAGCTCACTCACCTCTGCATCCTTCGCTCACATGCAGGGTTGAATTGCGTCATTGGTGGTGGACCAGAGCCGGGACTGGTGATTGGTCAAACGAGCGGAGAGCCCGTTTTTGATTGGACGGATCTCTTCCTGACGCATAAAATGCGACGGAAAAGGGAGGAATGTGACTTGGATGATCAACAACACAAGTTATCAGCTGATGGTTGTTGAGCGGCGAGTTTAAAAGTGATTTTAGTGATGGTGGGAAGATGGCTTCATAACGGCAGGTTTCCGTCGTCACGCTAACTGGAATGTTACTGAGGTTTGCCACGAAACAGTGAGAGTTTGGGTCGTTTACCTTGTGTCAAGTTTTTGAGAGTACAAGTCGAGTATTAGTGGGATTATGAACAAAGACTGTGGGTGCGCTCCAAAACACCCTCACCAGTGTTGTGCCAAAAAAGGGCTGTATGCCAGACACTCATTGCGGTCCGCTGGAGTACGCGCACCCTGCAAACATGCATCGGCCAGTTTATTCACGCGCATAACTGCTTCGAGCTGTGATGAAATGCAAAATGGAAGGTATGTCTTTGTACAATTTGAATCTTTGAGGAAATTATATAGGTTAAGTATAGCCCAAAGAAGCTTTAGCAGTTAAAACTGTAATCAGGCATGCTACACTCGTAAGTGATAGATGTATGTGTATCTAATAAAGGCTGTACTCAGGTGGACTATGCATCATCTGTTTGTGACAGAGGTTGATTTGTTTCTGCTGCAGTGTTTTACTTAAATATGAACTGCTGAGATGTAACTATAGCTATGTCATTACTCAGTCCCAGAAGCAACATATTTAACCATGTTAGTACATTTATTCATATTTGGAAACTAGACTCTAACATATGATCTGCATCATATATATAGGCTAAAGAAAACGATCCACTTTACAGTAATTCTTCTGATTCTATGTATTTTTTGTTGTATAGTATAAACATTTAATCCTTTCTATGAGTTTAAGCACCTCTAAGGATCCAGTACAACCAGAAAAATGCAGTGTTCCGTTTCAAAAAAAATGTTTGCATTTGAAATGATTTATTTATTTGCCTCGGGTTACCTTTATTTTGTTTATCTACTCTTGTGGTTAATTAAGCATGAGCAATCATCCATTACCTTTGTGCATGTTAAAGCAACTCTACATTGCTAGTATAACCAGTAGAATGCAATATTCTCATTGCCAAAAAGTGATCACAGCTAATTTCCTATACTGAAAGTGGTTTCTCTCCCTCAGATTACCATTATTTCACTCTTCTGGGTTATATTTTAAAGATTATCAGCCAGAACTTTTGTACCAGTTTAAGTACATCTAAATGGCCAGTATAACCAGTTAAATTCAGTTTTCTGCTTGCCAAAAAGTGATTACAGCTAATACTTTGTACTGTTGACCATGCATGCAGAGATGTACTTTACTCCACTGTCTCCATGAACACCAGTAAGCTGGTGAAAAATGCACCTGTGTGAATGCTGTCATCTGTTTCTGTCATGTTTGATTCTTTTCCCAGTGAATATTTTATTTTACATTTCACATTAATAATCAAATCAGTTTAATTAAATTTCCTGCATTTTATTTTTTCAGAGTGGATAATTTATATTTTCACTCCTCTGGTGTCACAATTTATGTCCTGTCTTCCAGTACTATAATAGGGGGACTCTGATTCAGCAGCCTACAGGTCAGTCCTAGTTTGTTGTGACACTGACACCAGAATTGCAATTCGTTCTCTTCAGGATATCCCCTATTAGAGAGGTCAAGCTGTTTGGGCAGCTCCCCTTATCCTGAGCTCAGGCAGCTGTCCCACAGCCAGCAGCTCAAATCCCACCCCATCCATTCCCATTTCCATTCCCTGATCCTCCATACCACTGCAGTCTTGTTTCATGACATCCATCATCAGGATCAACCAGTTGCTCATAATTCGATCGGGAGCAATTCTCTTAAAGCTGTTACAAAAATAATCAGATTCCTTCTTCTGCTCCTTTGTCTTCACACTTGCTGTTTTGACTGTTTATCTTGTATCTGTGTGTTTGTACAGGGATCAAGGAGCCTCCTCCTCCTCCTGTGTGTTTAACCTGATGAAAATCAACATAGGCAGTGGTATTCTTTGTCTAGCTTATGCTATGGCTAACACAGGTTTTTGGTAAGGATGCTCTTATTTCACCTTCTGTCACTGTGCTGTTCAAATATCTGTTTTTTGAACCAGATAAAAACACAGCTGCATGTCCACTGATTTCTGCTCTACACACCCTTCTTCTCTAGTATCCTCTTGACATTAGTGTCCAGCTTGGCAGGGTGCTCTGTAGATCTCCTTCTGAGGCTATGTGACAAGGTGGCACACTAACAAGGGATACACAGTGTGACTTTGGATGAGCACACTCCTAAGTGTTTATTCATCCAGATTTTTAAACCCACACTCTTGTTTTTGTTTTGATTCTCACAGACATTACTTCATATGAAGACCATGGAGTGAGTGTGTTGCACATTCCAGGAAAAGGAAGTGTTTTGCTTTTGGATTTGTATGTATTTGCCCTGTCAGAAAATGAAGAGTCATACTTATATTTTCAACACAATTAGAAAACACTCATACTAAAAGTATTTCCACATTTTTTTTTTAGGTTTTGGTTGGAGTTGCTATTCTTTTCTAAAGTAGAAGCAGAGTGGTGAAGAGGGTGCAGAGTGCTGCAGGGTCAGGCTCTGGCCACTTAATTTTGGAGGCAGATAGTGCCTCCTGCTGGTGATCAAATCTCTCTGTACTCTCTCGCAGGTTTACTCTTTCTTTTCTGTGAGGCTATTATCCAGATTCCTTGATAACCTCTGACCCTGGAGCCACAGTCCTCTCAACCCCCTTGGGCTTGAAAGCTGACTTCTAGTCTAATTGATCACTATAATGGAAAACCCACTCCAACTCTCCTGACTGTTAAGTAACCTAATGGGACCCCTCCCTATATTTCCCCCACCCCCTCACATCTCTTCTCTACTGCCACCTCGATCTGTCCCTCAGCCACATTGTGTTCCTCAGACAGTGGTAAGCTGGGGTGATAGCTCCTCTGCAGTCATTAGTTGCGCGGCTGAGTGGATTATTGCTGTGCCCTCTGGTATGTTTGTGGTTTTCCCAGCATGGGGCAGTGTGTGTGAGAGTGTGAGAGCCATCATTCCAGCATGCATCTGTCTACACCCTGGGCCCCTTTATAAGAGTGCAATTAGCCTCACTCTGGGTAAACATTCATCAGCACTGGCAAGGCTGATGGGCCAGTTGACCTTAATTACTGACCAGCCCAGGGCTCTCACAGCCGGCCTCTCCCTTTGCTCTTAATGAAATGAAAGTGGCTCTGTCTTCCATTGAACACAGTCTCTCACTATTGGTTGACCAGATGCAGGAGGTTTACATCAATTTTCCTATAAGTTTACATATATGCTAATTGTTAGAACATGTTTTCTTACCACTTGGCCAATAACAATCCTCCTTTTTCACTCAAAGGCCTTTATCATAACTAGGGCTGCATCATAAATCATTTTGTGAACATGATTTAGATCCCTGTGCGATCTCAATCTCATGTGACAATGATTCTGCCGTATCTACATTAGCAGTGAGATGCCTTGCATCAAACCAAGCGCTCCCTTTTCCTCACTAAGCTGCGTTAACCAATAGCGGGAATGTGTTACATCACGTGACAAGCTGTAGACAGGAAGAGAAGACTGATTCAAAAACAAAGTCAACATTTGACATTATGAACTATTTTTTTTTTAAACATTGTGCTGCCTGCCCTGTATACCTTGCGCCAAATAGCAGTTGAGACAGAAATAAATCACTTTGAGGTTATTAGTGGCAGTTATTGGTTAAGGCAGGTTAGCGAGGAAAAGGGAGCGCTTAGTTTGATGCAAGGCATCTCACTGCTAATACAAACACAGCATAATCACACAGGGATCTAAATCACTCTCACAAAACAATTTATTGTGCAGCCCCAACCATAAGTGTGGTGCTTATGGAAACTAAGTCATTACATCATGCCTGTTGTGTGTTAATATCCATTTGTGTGGCTGAAAAGACTTTTGTTTTTATGGCATGTTTTAAATCATTGGATGAACTTGAGCTGAAAAGTTTGGCTCATAATAACATCTTATTGACAGATTTTAGTGCTTACTAATGGCATTAGCTGTTCTCAGACCAGGTGTCCTTGTGTCTGTGTGGGCTGGAGGATTACTGGAAGAACTTTCTTTTATAAACAAATACAGGATCTGAGGGATTATGGTCTAGGCTTATTTAACGGTGAGTGCGAGACCTGCCCTAGGGCAGAAAGGTCCCAGCTAACTCTGGCTCTGCCTGGCTTCACAAATCCAAATCTCTAAACATTATCTCTCTTTATAATTAACCACACACTGCATCTGAATCCCTGTTTCGGACCAAACACATCCTCTGCTCCTGGTGCAAGCTCCATCCCTCCCTTTCTCTTTTTCCTCCTGGAGCTAGTATGACCCTCAGGAAGTGACCCTGATCCCCTCTCTCATTGGCTGTCTGAGCATCTGGGGATATATGTTGGAGCCCATCAGATTCAGATAATATCCTGTTTCCTAGTGAGGTGGAGAAATGGGAGAAATACCTGGATTAGCATCAGCAGCATTATTGTTAGCACCCCGATCCCCCCAGATTTCTTCATCCTGCCTGCTACTCCCAGTTTCTAGCAGTTGGAGGATCTGCATAGCATCTGCTCCTCTGCACCACAGGCTTAGTTGGTGATCCCGTTAGCTGTCTGCCACACCCATCTGCATTAACTCAGAGCCATGGTACCGCTTCCGCCCTGCCTTCACTTTCTTTGTGCTGGAAAACACACACCACCTTGAACGTAGCAATTTAGGATTGTGGCAGCATACGGTCATCTGCTGTTTATAATTTACTAGTTTGTTATGACTGTGTGCTTTTTTTTTTTGTTTGTTTTTCATTTAGAAAATACATTTCCTGAACTTTTTTTCCCCCATCTCCCCCCTCAGACATGTCATCCTGTTTGTTTGTCTTGAAGTCAGAGATTCCTGCAGCCATAAACAGCTTCCTGAGCCCAGACAACACAGGGTGTGTATGGACTCTTTCCTTCACCAGTGTAAAAAAAAAAAAAAAAGATATTGTCTTTAATTAGCTGAACTAAGATAACAAACAACTCATTCCCTGTTCCCATGATTTTGCAGATTATAACTCTGGCCCTCAGAGAAGTCAGATCTGACACTTCTTCACCACAACAGCTCACAAACTGGAAATACTCGAGCAGAATGCAACATATGAATAATGAGGCAGAAGATCTCTGACCAAACCACAGTGCACTACTAATACTTTGTAAGAGATTAGGAGGAAACTTGTGCTTCATGTTATATAGCACAAAGGATGCCCAGAGGAAATGTATTTATTACAGAGAGCCATTCATCACCCATCAGCAGCAGCCTGCGGTCTACATAGATGAGCCTGCAGCTCCTCTCCCTCACAGAGAAGTCCTCAGCCAAGAATGTAACTTCTATCACTTTATTACTGGCCACACCAGTTTAAGCAGGGGTTGTAGCTGCTCTCAGGCCAATCCGTCAACATCTGAATCTTCCACACACAGCTGCTTTGTATTAGTACTCTCCTTTCACCCTAAATTTCTCACACATGTTCCCCGGAATCAGACTGATACAAGGGGATATCAGTTTTGCCATTCTAATTACAGCTCACTGCTGAAGGAAACAAAACATTTCTGTTAATGAGTGGCTTTTGGATGTTAACAGGCATGCACACAGTTCCATCAAAGTCTAAATACACAAGTTGTTTTGTATTAAAGTGCGTTTCTTTTTTTCTGGCTCATTTCTCATAAGGTGGTAGAGTGAAAACAGTTGTGCTCAGTCTGTTAGTCTTCATCTAGGCTGGTGGAGTGTGTGTCCTGCTTAGGTTTCTCCAGTCATGTTTAAGTGCTGTAACAAGGCTGGAAACATGGACAGCTGTGGATCTGGACTTGAGCTGCACTGGTCAGATTTATGTTGATCTTTAACACTATGTGGATATTGACTCATTGGCAGTCATACTCCAGCCTTAACTGAGAACTATCCTGCATCTTGTTATAGCGTGAAATGTTCCACATTTCATGGGTCTTCTAGGTATCCTGCGCCTTTACAGTAAGCCTCGAGCCTCCTGAGAATGCATCCTAATTGTGGTGGAGGGTTTTTTTGTATCCCTGTGTCTGCATTAAAAGCGAAGAGGGCTTTAGTTTAACTGTGGTAGAGTGTGTTAGCTAAACCTGGGTTAGAAGAGAGAGGTTGGGGTCAGAGCAGAGGTCCCCCCTGACATGCAGTTACTGGGCAGAGACAGTGTAGACGCACAGACAAATTTGTCAGCGCCTATGGTAACGCCACAGCTGTGAAACTGCCAAAGGGGGTCGGTGAGTGTTGATGTGGACAGAGCAGGTGCTGTTGACTGTGGGAGCCCCATAAAAAGTGATGGAGCCAGTCACTCATGACCCCACACTGCGATCCAACATACAGCAGCGCCAGGCAGCACCCGACCCCGACCCCAGCGGAGCCGGCATGCCTTCCACATGTGTCACCTCGAACGCAGCCCCTCCTGCTTCTCTAGCTCCCGAATCCTGAATAAGCCACCAAAGCTATTCCTAAGCAAAGGAAAATATTATTCCCTCTCTCCAAAAACCCAGCAAGTGAAATGCGGTCTCATCTGAGTAACATGTTTGCATGTGAATTACATAACTGTTATAGTTTGCAAGAGTCAACACTCTTAATTTGTACCACATGATGAATGTGCTGCTCTGCATTTTAACACCAAATGGAGACAAATTTGCAGAGCCATTTCATTAAGGCAGATTTGTCTTTGCTGTCCTTGACATTTCAGGACAAGGGAGAGTGCGTCCTGTTCTTGTATTCCAAAAATGCCTTGTATGAAGATGGCCCGTTGCTTCTCATCCTAGTGAGACTGTGTTGCTCTACCTTTGTCAGTATTGTCTAAAATTGGAGTTTGAACTTTTGTTTCTTACTAGATGTCCTACACGCCCTTACAGGCTTCCTGGTTTACACCAGTAGCCTCGCTTGGTTCTACAGCCTGAACCTCATAGTTGCGGTGAGACAATATTTCCTTCCAACATGAGGTTTTTCAACTCTTCTGTCATCTGTGTCGAGAAATAACTCGTCCCCTGCCCAGTGCTTCACAACATTACTATGCTTTCAGGTGCTTTTCAGGTAACGGCAAGCTTATTTACAAACTTAAATAAGATACCATGAATATGAGGTCTGAACTATAGACTGGACAGTCATGGCCACAGGAGGACTGGAACATTAGGAGGAAAAACCCAGGAGATTACTGATTGGGTTTGCTCTGGCTGATGAAGACCAGGGAAGGCTGCAGAGTGCTGTGTATGGTGCCAGTCCTGAGGGGAAGGAAGTTCCGGTGACCTTGCTTGAGCCTGGAAATTACCTCTGACCTTTTAGAATTCTAGAGACCATACTATAACTTCAGATCTGGTATGAGTTATCTTAGATGGTTGTTTTCCTTTAAAGCCAGGCAACAAGAGTTTAGCTGCATGTTTCTCCCATTTACAGCAGAACTGAAGAAGTCCTCTTAGAAACGGCATGCTCACTCTTCTCCCCTTGTTTCTACAGACATCAGATTCCTCTGACTGTATGTACACCTTCTCTTTGGCATCTCTAGCGAGGTTCAGTACTGTATGTTTATGAAACCAATGTTTTGTCAACATTGCACATGCAGAACCTGTGAGAAGTGGTTGAAAGTCGACCTGCTTCAGTTTTTTGACTCTAGTGAGAAGTCACATTTTACCTACGGACAGGCTGTTTATGGCAACTCAGCTACCATTCTCATGTATGTTGTGTGTAAAGGCCACATGTACATATGGCATGCAGAAGAACAAGTGGGTCAAACAGAAATGGATGTTGTTACATGTTCCTTCTTAAAAATTACACTTGGTATTTAGAGATGCATATTTAAATTCACTAAGGAAAAGTCACGCTGCAATCCAGATGACCTACTACCACACCTTGACCTACCCGCCCCCTCACTCCTATATAACATTGTAAAATGATAATTTGCAAATGGTGGCTGTGCTCAACCAGACATAAGGACAGTTTCTTCCCCTAGGCTGTCACTCTGATTAACATTTAACCAATATCTGTATAACAGAACGACAACCCTCAGTGCAGCATTGTGTAAATATGCTTTTGTATATATCTGAAACACCGCATCTAAATTGTGTATATAAATTTCTGTATTTATAAGTATAAGCCTCTGTAGGCAGAGGCAACTAGCTTAGCTTTAACACAGTTATTTCCTTTTAGCTGAGTAACGCTCTCAGCGTTCTGCACAGGGGACGGGCTTATCCTTGTGTATCTGGGTTTGACGTCACACCTAGCACAACAATGCTCACTCTTGAGGCAGGAGATTCAAAATGTTAATTAACTTAAAAACAGCAGAGATAATGGTTACTAATTTGACAGCAGAGGAGGATTGTCACATCACCCTAAAACATTCCAAAGCCAATTTTGTTTTTGTCTTCCATCATGCCAACTCTTTAAGTCTTTAATAGTTATTTCCGGTCCCACCTCACTTCCTTTCTTTCAATTATCAGAAACTTGGCATGAGTCATTACCACAGTACTGTAGGAGTGTGTTTGGTTTGAGTGAGCTACGCATATCTGTGTGTGTGTTTGCTCTAGGCCCATAAGGCTGTGGTCTTACTGCTGTGTGGAGGACTTCCCTTCTCCTGGCTAATCCACATCATTGCAACTTTAACCATTCTGGACATGATGCTGATGCTGGCCATCGATGTACATGATATCTGACATGTATCTGGAGTATTAGGCATGTGACATTTTTTTGAAATATGGAGAAAATGTGCTTGTTTTGCTAGATATTGTGGTCTTTATGAATCACATAATTAGTTTATCCTATACACAAAGAGTTTTGCTTAATTGTGACCTTTTAGATATTCTGATCTGTTCCTGACTATAGCAGACTAAAAGAGCAGCCAAGATGTCAGTATTCCACAGTTATTGATCATGTTGTCTAAATTCACAGTATCTGCTCATACATAATTAATGGTGCAGTCCTGCTCAGACAGTTTATGAAGCTGCTATTATCAGACAGGCAGCATACTGTCTGTGCAATTCAAGCACATTTTCTGTTTCTTTTGCAGGATCAACAACCTCCAACTGTCTCCTTTTTATTTTACCTGACATCTTTTGTCTTTTAACTTCAGCAGCCAACCTCCCAGATCCTTTGACTGGGACATTATATATTTTTACATAATGTAATGACCTATTTACATTTCCTGATTTTACTCTTGTTATTGTTTTTTTTTCAAGCTTCTTGTTTTTGTCCTTTAATTCTGTGCAGTAATTTAGTTTTATATTAGAATTACCACTTCACGGTTGTATGCCTCTGCCAGCCAGTCAAATTCACTGAATGGGACAGACAGGGAGTCAGTGTGACCTTGACTATTGATCACCAAGATCCAATGAGCTCATCCACAAGTCCAACTAGACCTTTGTGGCAAATTTGGAGAAAATCTTCAAGGTGATTCAGAGATATTGCATTTACAATAATGGGATGGATGGACAACCTGAAACCATAATGCCTCCACCCATGGTCATCACCGGTGCAGAGGGATAAAACTGAACATTCAGTTATTGTTTGGACCATTTAATTGCAATATACGGTATGCAGGCATAATATAAAATGTTAGTCTTGAAATGACTGGCATTTAATTAAAGGAAAGCTGTTCATGTACTGACATGTTAGTTTGCTCATTCAAACCCTAAACTGTCTTTATCAGTGTTGTGGAAAGCTCCTCATTCTGACATGTTACATTAATGGCTGTGTCTTTGATTGGCAGGCGCAGTACTGACACTGAGACCTGTTCCTCAGTGTTGTGCTGTAGCTAATGAAAACCACATGCCTGGTACATTTCTAATCATTATGCTGTTTAGATTGTCTTCATACTGCCTGCCTCTGGAACCTATGGCCATCCGACTGCTGCTTTCAATACAAGGAATTAGGCAGACCAAACCCACCACCCCTGCAGACAGAAGTGGCTGCCCCCTCTTCACGCCCTCTTAAAGAGGTTCCCTAATAGAGGTGGTATCTCTGGCATCTATCCACTGCTTGACTGGGCAGCTATATTTATCATATATGATATTATTAGGTTGTTTAAGTTGATTTGTGCTGTTGTTCCTGGTCAAAGTAGCTAGTTTGGGGTTCTTTAGTTTACCTTATTTCAGTGGTTTCTATCATATGGGGCAGGTCCCCTCCAAAGGGCCACAAGATTAGTCTTGAAAGGTCATGAAATATTTATTAATAAGACATCAAATAAGTATTTAAATGAAACCATCTGAGAAGTTTAGAGGAAAACTGTTTCTCCGGTGAAAATGCTGCTCTACTCAACTGGACCGAAGTGATAAAAGGATTGATGTGGAAGAAAACGGGCAGTCTAGTGACCCCCTGTGCGTTACAGCTGTTGAACCGCTTTGCACGGCTCGGATTAGACACTAACCTGTCCTACCTCTCCATGCAGTGCCAGCCTACATCCAGGGGTCTTCCCAGTTTTCCATCTCCAGATCCTGGAGCCGTTTGTGCCAGACATGATACGACGTGGCTGGCATATCCACCCCAGCATCTAATAATACCAATAACATCACTGAGTTGAGTTAAAAAATGGTCATCACTGGCATCTAGAAGGCATCAGCATACCTGTATCCTTGTTGTCTATGCTCCCAAGATATATTTAGCATCTTTAGTTGAGTTCATAGTCATGACACCAACTCTGATTTGAGAACACTGGTTTCTGGTACTACAATATGACGCTCACTTCTGGAATTAACTGTGGCACTGTCCTCAAAGAGATGCTCATTTGTCTGGGTTCCTTTAGGAACCGCTGAACTACAGCCCATATGCAGCACAAGATTACCACCTAGTGTCAGAATGTGTCCACAGCAGTGCAGATCATCCTCTTTTCTGAAAGCCTAACTAGATTATCAGATGCTCCAATTTTCTCCCAGTTTTATCATGTATTGGAAACATGCATGTTAACACATACCAGCGATGTTTTTTATGGAAGTCTGACTTTGCTGTGAGCCATCAGCCTGGGATGGGAGTGTTTTTGTTTAGTTAGACTTACCCATGCACTGGGCCCATTTCCAGCAGTATGACAACATCTCCCAGGGTTAAAACATGGAATAAGGCAGAGGAACAATGGTGGGCTGAAATTAAAACCCTCTTGGCAGCCTAAGGTCTGGTATTATTTTAAAAGGTGTTGGCTGTGTTCTTTGAAAATTGTTTTCTGTTGTTGAAGCTCTGGATTTTGGGGTAACAGCTGGGTCTGATTCCAATGTCGCGACTGACCTTTGACACAGTTTGATCTTCTATTGTTTGATGACACTGCGTTCAAGTATTAGATAAGTGAATAACAAGCAGGGGTATATACCCTTTGAGTAGCTGCCTCTGCAGATTACAGGGGGATTGATTCAACTATAAATAGCAGTTTCTGATTTGATTTTTAAAAATATATGTTTGCATAGTTGTGTTATGGTGGGGGGGGGGCAGCAAAAAAAAAAATGGTGTGATGATATTTATTACATTTGCAATAACCAGAACCTCAGCTAGATACCAAGGTAAAGAAGTTGAATTATATAAATGTGATGAACCGTTGATTTATCTAAGCCTACGTTAATGAATAAACATCTGAAATGGTTGTATTAATGAAATGTCTAGATTATCAGTTGAATTAGCTAAAAGCAGACTAATGAATAAACAGTTGAAAAACTGCTAAATATAACAAAAGGTTTGATTGGATTGGAACTGTGAAACCTGACCAAAATGAATACTGACAACTTAGCTGCATTAAATAACATAAATGTTATAATCCATTAATAAAAAATGAAGAACTTGATGGATGGTGTTGACGAAGGGTTACATGAGCTCCTCTTACAGGGCTGTATGGGTACGCTTGTCAAAACTGGCAACTGCTGGATTAGATCATCTGCAGAAAGCAACACTACACTGTTCAGCTTGACGCTGCGATGAGGTGATCGCAGCTCTCTGCAGATGACTTTATGCCAATAGTGATCTGGACGGATCAGAGCCAACGCAGTATTTTACTTCCTGTTTGTGTTCAGACATCAGATCTGCGTTCCTTCACATGTAGTTGATGTCAGAATCTGCAGCAGAGCTGAGAACATGTGCAACATCTGCTTTCTGTTTACCCGTATAATCTTGTTCAACAGGCATTCCCGGCTGAAAGGTGCTTCAAGGATTTTTTTCACATAAGCTTTTTAATGCTGTTTGGCATGATGAGTGGTTTTCCTTGTTAGTCATGGTGGCAGACTGCAACTCAGCAAATGTTATCGATACACAAGTGTCATCACTGATGAAATGCTCTCTATCAATTTTTTTCTTTCGTTCCATTCTATCCATTCCCTCCATCTACCATCACTCCATGCTGCTGTTCTGCTTTTAATTGATTTCCACACTCTATCAGTAAACATGCTCTTTGTGTCATAGTGAGAGCACTGCACGCTCTGAAGACTCTTTTTGAGACAACAGATGCTCCGGTCATACTAAAATTTATTCTTTTTACAGATTTCTTTGTGCTTTTTGTGAAATTGTTAAAATACTGACAAATAAGGAAATTATAGGCTTCCGCAGCATGTGTGTAACAGGAAGTAATGAACATTCTCTAGAGCACCAACAGCTCGCAGGCTGTTGTTCTTCAGTGGTCTTTATGTATAACATCATGAGTCTTGATGGTGTTGTCTGCCTCTGCATTTAAGTGGTGTGTCTGAGACATTACATGCTAAACAAGTAGACGAGTGACGTCCTTTGCCTCCCTTCCATTGTGGATGTCAGAGAACCGCAGCTGTCTTCCTACAAAATCACTGAAAAATCCAGCAGTTAAAATGTTTGTGTGTGGTAAACATTGCAGCTTCTCTTGCAGGGACTCTTGAAGTATTGTTCAGGGGAAGAATTGGCTGACACACTCATCACCTGCCCTCTAAAATCAGAGCTGGCACAATAGCAGCAACACAGTGACATAAAATAGACTTGACTCAAAGATTGCAGTCACCAAGACAGTACAAGCCTTGGAGTGACAATGACAGAGATTTTATATTGTCAGTTCAGAAATCAAGGTTGTGAGTGAAATACGCTTTCTAAAGTAAAGTGGGATGGTTTGTGATGTTTTAGGAGGTATTGTAGTGCTGAGGTATTTTGGCAGATGATGAGCAAGGGTAGAGAAGGAAGGAAGGAAGGGTATAGGCCAAGTGGTCAGCAGCACAGTATAGGGTTCAGGTTGTGTCTTTGTGGTGGTGAGTGGGGGTGAGCTTGTCTGTCTGCGATCCCATCAGCCCTGGGCTGAGCTCTTAATGCGGTCCTGACGCCTTGCTGGCGCAGGGGCCATGCTGCCTCACATCTGGAGCCAATTAAACTTGAGGGGCTGTGACAGAGCATCCCCCCCACACACACACCACCACCACCACCAGAACCCTCTACACTCTGCTCCACTGTCCAGTGCAGCTTTGAGCACCGTCAGTTACATTCCTCCAGTTTTCACCACACCATGCTTTGTTTTTGTCAGTCCTTTTTTCCCCTGCCTTACAAAACCACATCCTCCTCATAGACCTGGATTGTCCTTTTTTTAAAATATTTAATCAGCAGATAAAAGGCGGTATCAGGCCATAATAATGATCTCTGCGCTAGGCACTGACCATGTCATCTCAATGCACCCTGTCTGAATCCAGCTGTGGACCTTTGTTGTATGCTGTCCCTCTGGTCTCTGCCTTCATTTCCATATAACTCTAAAGGCAAAACTTTTGAAAAAAGTTACTAATGAAAGAAAAATTATATCAGTAAACCATGACATCTTAGTATTATTTCTGCAGAATAGTGCCATCCTAAGTCAGGTTTTCCTGTGGCACAACACAGGATTAAAGCACATTTAGTTCCAAATCAGCTTTTACAGGTGTGATTTATGTGCCTGTGCTTCCACAGGAGAAGCCCTAGGGATATGCATATATGTGTTTGCATGTGTGGCTCAGTTCAGCATGAAGGTTTCTATATGGCTTTACCTGAGGGGAGTCTGGGGTCATGACTGTAGGATGGGGGTTAGTTCTGGTGCTCGGACCCAGTGACTGATTGGTGTAATTGAGTTTTCGGTGGTGCAGGAGGTGTGGTGGGGGGTGTATACTGGCCCTGCAGGATTTCTCTCATAGCCATTCTCCCCTTATTCCCCACTGCCCTGTTTGGCACCAATGCTATGGTTCATTAGCTGCAGCTATAGGATGTACCTGGGCAGGGAGCCAGAGGATAGAGCTGTCCTGGGTTACACGGATATAAATTGGAGCGTAGACTGTGAAGTGAATATGGGAACTCTACAGGTGGCTGAAATTAAGTTGTATACAGAGAATGAGACAGCTCTGATATATGGGAGGCTTTTGGTAGCTGGCCCTGAGCTTGTGTGCAGTAAAATTATGCCTTCTTGAGGAGATATATATAGAAATATTCTTTGTATTCATGCCTGTGTGTGTTTCTAAGACACACTCGTGTCTCTGTGTGTACATACACATGTAGCCCACGACTCTGTGTTCTCAGTTAGGTTTTTAGCGTGTGTAGAGTTGCAGACATCTCCTGTGTGTACATAAGTCATGATTTGGCCATGACAACCACTTACAGAGAGAAAGTTAGACTGGAATGAGGGGGAAGGGATGCAGGGCAAAGAGTCACAGAGCTGACAGAAAGGGAGACGGCTGGTAGAACAAAGGCACAAAACAAATCATCCAGGGCCATAAAAATGCCAGTTTTGGCTCCAGGGTAAAACAAGGGAGAGAGAAAGTAAAATGTACAGATTTTTAAAGCCGCTTCATCATAAGAGAGAGGCAAACAGAGAAGAGGAGGAGGGTGGCTGTGAGGGAGAAATACAAAAGAATTGAACAGTCTTATTCCGCCCTCTGCTGGACAGTTTATGTGGATGGGGCTTTACTGAAAGAGGAACATTCACTTATGACCCTTCTTACACTGCCTAAAATACCTTGTTGGTCCAGGTGATCTGCAGCTTACATTTCATGTGCAAAATAATTTACATTAACCTACCAGGTCTGACAGATGCCTTTCCTGGTGAGAGTGTATTCACATCCTGCACCAAGGCAATACACTATCTGTGTGTTTTATCATTACAACCTTCTCTGCTCAGTAAGGTCAAGTCTGAGAGGTTGTTTACAAGACAGTTTGTATCCCAGGGATGTGTAGGAGCTGGGACCTGGTCTCTTTATTTATAACAGCTGGGCCAGGGAGATGTTGGAGTGCTGACATTTGGCAGAGTGGGGTGAGAGGTCAAATTTAACAGCAATAAAGTGGAGACTTTGATCATGGCGTACATGGATGGAGCAGGCACAGCACCCTCAGAGAGAGAGAGAGAGAATAGCATTTAAAGAGGAAAAGGGACAGGGAACGAACATTTATGAGGGTGGACTGAAGAAAGACAATTAATTTCAAATATGTATCTAATACTGTCACATAAGGATTTATTTTCCACCAGTAACAGCGCTTGCTGATTTATTTACCTAAAATTAGAGGATGTTATCAAAGCTAGAGATACAAGTAATTTAATCAGTTAATCTGTTCATTATTGTTCAGATTTTTGATGACTCTTTTGGCCTGGTAAATGCCAGAATAAAAAAAAAAAAATCTCTCT